GCCAAGTGGGGACGCAGCAGGCAGGGAGCCAGCTGAGGCACTCTCAGGCCAGATCTGGCAGCTTGGCAGGCCAGATCTGGCCTGTGGATCATATTTTGCCCAGCCCTGTGATAGTGTTCTTCCAAACTCTGTCCACAAGATGACAGGCTCGACCCCCTGAAATCCGGAATGAGATACTGCTCATAGTAGATTGTATGCATTTTTGGCTCCTATGCTACCGCCCATGTTGGTGAAACTTATGGGCTACGTCTAAATTGCATCCCTTTTTCGTAGAAGGGATGCAAATTAGACGTATCGCAATTGCAAATGAAGCGGGGATTTAAATCCCCCCCGCTTCATTAGCATAAAAATGGCTGCCGCTTTTTTTTGGCACAGAGCTTTGCCGGAAAAAAGCGCCAGTCTAGACGTGGATCTTTTCGGAAAAGGCTTTATTTTCCAAAGATCCCTTATCCCTTATCCCTCCGCTTCATTTGCAATTGCGATACGTCTAATTTGCATCCCTTCTACGAAAAAGGGATGCAGTCTAGACCCAGCTATGTTGCTCAGGGCTGGGAAGGAAGAGCTGTACCTCAGACTGACATAAGCGCTTGTGTGCACAGTGCTACCTCGGTAAGAGAGCTTGTCCCACCCACACAGCTTGTGCTACTCACAAAAGTGCTTTATTTATGCTTGCGGGAGAGCTCTCTCCCATCGACATAGTGTCTTCACCAGATGTGCTGCAGATGCACCACTGGATCAGTACAGCTGCAGAGCGTAGGTATAGATATGGCCTTGCATGATGAATGAAATAGTAGACGCTTAAATCAGATGGCTAGGGATGAGGATTGAACCCTCCGTTGAGACAAATGGGACAGTTCGTGCCTCTCAGATCTTCAACCTAGGATTCAGAATGTGTGTTCTGAAAACCAAGTTGCAACCTCAAAGTGCTGTCTGTACTGCTATTTTTAGAACACTATGCAAACCTGTTTGGTGGCCCAGTCTTAGAGGCTTGCTCCAAAATGCTATGTGGACATGCCCTTGGAGATGATAGCTTTTAGAGAAATACTGGTAAAATGCATAGGCACCTATTGGCTATTTTTTGAGCTCTGATTTATGTACGGTAAATTCATATGCAGCTGGCAGAGAATAAAAAAATTAGAGACTGATGCACAAAAAGCTCCTGTTTAAAATCTTGTTTATATATAAAGTTGCTGATAGCATGTTCTGTTAGCAGGATATTTTAAGTCTCTTGAACAGTGAGCGTTTGAACTCAAATTACTAATGTTTGTCACAGCCAAGCATACCCAGTGCTGAAGAGGATAAAAGGCTGGTTAAGCAAGGTTTTCTCCTACAATATCCCAGAGTATTGAGCTAAACACATGTTGTGAGTTCAGTTTTTCTGGATCCCTTTCTTGATGTGGCAGCTGAACACCTGGTACATGATTTGTGATCACCTGCATCAGAATTTCAAGCACTTCTGATCAGAAACTTAAATTTTTTTTCTTATGTTGACACATACAGACTTCAGTTGTGTTTTCTCCCTTGCGTTGATTGGCAGAGTTGACATCAGAGGATTTTAAGGTAGCCATTTGAAGAGCATCTGTATGAGATATTGGAAACACAGATTTGCTGTGCAAAAATCAATCTTTCAGTTCACTTTTGAATGACAAATAAGATTATAGGTTTTTTTGACAGACAAGATTGAAGTTATACAATTTGTGGCCAGAATAACTGCACTAATAAAAAGGAGTAGAAATCCCTTAGCCCACCCCGTAATCCATGTACATATATGTGATTTAAATACATGACTAGTCAATAAATCCCATCCAGTGGTGTGTAGAGAGAGTCTTGGATTTTGTATGTCAAGCCAGTTTTATACAACATTTTGGATAACGTAGTTAGTGGATAAGAGAGAGAGTTTTCTCTTCCCTTCTTCAGTGTCTTGGGATAATCTTTCAATATGATTCTTAAACTTGGGATTGTCTGGTAGTTTCACTAAGCTAAGAAAGGAATTGTATTTCTTTAATGTTGCTACTGCAATTTACCTATACAACCAATGCATGAGTCTCCATTCTGGCAAGATAATGCAATCCTTTGCCTGTGAAGTTAGTCTGTTGGTGTGGGGTTTGAGGTGTGCCATGTGATTATCTCTTAAAGGAATATATTCTGAAGAAGAGATCAGCCCCCAAAATGCCCCAGTAAAAAACATAGCCTGCAGAACATATGAGCCACTTTCCCTGTCTCTTCTTGTGGGAATGTCTTGCATAGGGTTACCAGGTGTCCAGCATTCACCCAGACAGTATTCCGGTATTTTCGGCTCCTGTACAGTAAAAAAAAATTCAGAGAATACCGGACACCTAAAATGTCCGGCATTTTCTGAATTTTTCCCCAGCCAAGAGGCGAAAATGCCGGGCACCTGGCAACTCTACAAACACTCAGAACCCGGCCTCCCCACTCAAGTCACGCCCCGGTCCTCAACACCCACACCCCCAGCCCTCCTGCTTACCTGGTTCTCCAAGGCTGCCGGCACAAAATGGCTGCCGGCCAAAAGACCTAGGGGAAGCAATGCTTTCCCCTGGATCTTAATGCTCAACCGCTCCTCTGTTCCTATCCCTGCACTCACTCTTAAAGGGGACATGCTGTTTTAATGCTGTTTTTATTTTTATTTTTTTTGGCTTACCCCCTCTTTTTTCCCCCCCTTTCAACAGAATTTTTTCCCATTTTTTTTTTCGGAGGGGGTGGGGGTTGGGTCAGTATTTTTGTTTCAACCATCTGGCATCCCTAGTCTTGCAGTATCACGACTGCTTCAATCTTACCACTAGTGTTCTGTGCTTAGGCTCTCCAAGCCTGAAACATCCGTACCTTTTCCCATAGAATATGTTAGGTTCTCAGTGTTTGTTCATGGGTTTTCTTTAGGAAACCCTACTGTACTTGCTCAAAAACCCTGATGGCAACATATGTTTTAGAATAGCGTTGTTGATTTGTGGGTGGTGTTGAAGCATAAGCCTAGATTTTCACTTACTAATTATTACATCATTGTCGCCAGTCTCAAAGGTTTGCTGATATTACTCTGCAAGTGGATTTTGAGCCTCTAGCAACCTAGAGCAGGAGGGCTCTTTAAACCTTAAGAATTGTTGAATGTTACTTGACTTATCTCCACAGGACTGAGACCACTTTGATAACAAATGGATCAATTGCACACTTTTTGTGCAGAAGTGTCTTAAGTGCTGTTGCCCTCTGACAGAGCAATTACTGTAAGAATGGTGGGTTCTGCATGTGCCAAGCATTAGCCACCCTGAGGCCCCCAGGCTTTTAAGGAAAGCAGCAAATATCACTTATTACAGTGGCACCAAGTAGTGCCCTTCTAGGTAAGGGGCTGTTAATAATTCCAGTATCAAGCTGCTGCTTCCTAGAACCTATAACTGTGTCCTAAAATCCTATGTAAGAGCAGATCCTCCACCACTTGCCTCCCGCAGCGGCACCGATTTTAGCACAAGGTTGCAAGCAGCAGCCTCACCTCATCTCCCTGGCTTCGTGTAGGCCACAGTGGTCATGTTCTGGAGGCCAAGCTCTCTCACTTCAGTGTGGGTGTAATATGGAGCGAGTCAGCCATAGATCATGCTTGTGCTGCAGAGTGAATCCCACCCTTTTCCCTGTCAGGAAACTGGAAGTGGTATGACACAGGCTCATTCTTCCAAAACAGCAGGCAAGCACCTTCTTGCCACAACTCCTGGGCACAGAGCTCAGAGGAGAGGTGTCCTGCAGTGACTGCGTACCTGGAAGGGAGAGGAGGCCTGGAGAGAAGCTGTAGGCCATGGGTTCCCAAACTAGGGTGTGTGCCCCCCTGGGGGGGGCGTGAAGCGACCCAGCCTCCTCCCCCCCCCCCTCAAGTTTTGCTGCTCCACTCAGTTCCTTTTTTTTCTCAATACGTTTTGCTTCTTTGGCGGTGGGGGGGCGGGTAAGGGGAGCGTGGGGTTTTTTTTAAAAATCAAGAAGGGGGTATGATGCCGAAAAGTTTGGGAACCACTGCTGTAGGCAGTAAGGAAGGGCAGCTAACTGGAAAGCTGGAGCCCATAAGAGGGAGGAGGAACCCATAAGAGTCAGTGTACTAACAGGCCAGGGGACTCTGACAGCCTGGGGACTTGAATAGTCTCTTGGTGCCCTAACACCATCCAGGGATTTGGAGGCCAAACAGCTGCTTTCCCCCAGGACTCCCTGGTTGAGAACCTAGCTGCTGCTCCCTGCCGGTTATCTCCCTGACACACTAGCATTCATCTCTGCTAGCTAGTAGGGATTTCCACAATCAGAATGAGGCCCGGAGTGGTAACAGCTCTGCTGGCACAAAGCAAAGGGAAAGCCCAGATTCACCTGACAATACCCGTAAGGTGACAGACCATTCATAGCCCTTGACCCAAGGAGTACTGCCAGGGAGAGAATCTCTGTGCTCTGGCTATTCTCAGTGCACTTGGTCAACATAAGTTAGAGCAGCCTGATGATTGTGCTAGTTCTCACAGGATCTTTGCAAGAGAGGAGGGTGCAAAGAGCCACAACTGGGGCATATCGCTCTTTTTGCCCTCACTTTCCTCCCCTTCCACCAAACTCAGCTGAACTGCAGATCAGCATGAGGGCCTTGGTGTATATACAGTGAGTGCCATTCAAATCTACATGATTGCCTTTAACTGCCTCATTAATTACCTGTTTAATGCTAAGTAAGAGAGAGAATAATGTTGAAATTGCAACCCATTTATTTGCTGGAAAATTTTAAACAAACAGCTTAGTACTCATGTCAGGTTATTTGGGAAACAGCTATCACATACTTGTAGATGAACATCCCTCCCAAGACGAGACTTGTTCCTTGCATCTCTCTTGCTAAAGCCATTTAGAACATGAATTCCCCAAAACCTGCAGCGCTTGGACATTGGTGACTGAAAGTCACCAACAGTGTAGCAATACAACTCTGCTTAAAATATTGACTGTCTGCAAACGTCTCATGAACGGTAATGCTTTGTTTTTGTTTGTAGGTGTGCCGATGTTATCTGTACAACCAAAAGGGAAACAGAAAGGCTGTGCTGGCTGCAACCGAAAGATCAAGGACCGCTACCTTCTGAAGGCCTTGGATAAATATTGGCATGAAGACTGTCTAAAATGTGCCTGCTGTGACTGCCGCCTTGGAGAGGTTGGATCAACTCTTTACACAAAAGCAAATCTCATTCTCTGCCGCAGAGATTACCTGAGGTAAATAAGACGCATTCTGGGGTTCCAGCATTGCTTTAAGTACAAGATCCATAGCTTTCCCCTTTTTAAGGGTGCCTTTTTGCTGGTTTATATTTGATGCAACTGTTTGTGTAAGCTGTGGTAGTAAGGGGAGAGCATGGTTTGTGGGGGGGCTTTAATTATGAGCTTACAAGGGAAAGGAATGTTTGTGTTAAAAATCATCAGCTGGTGTAAACTGGTGTCGCTTACTGACATCAGTGTGATGTGGATACAAAGCAGCTAAGGGACCACCCCATTTTGCCTTTTAGTGGCAGCTTTTAAATACATTTAGCTGTGTTTTCTGTAGACTCCACAAAGCAAAATAGTGTATCAAAATAAGAGATTTGTTTTATAAAAGTTTTCCTTCAGGAAATTTTGGCCAGCAGTGACACTTCATTCAGGTAGTCAATGCATTTGTGGTGAATAAACCTGATACTCCAGAGAATGGTAGTTTTTAAAAATTGAATATATGTCTATGCATATATATATATATATATATATAATCTCAAATGAGTCTTAACAAGATGGTAGCTATTATGTACTTTCCCAAATAATGTGACCTAGTGCAAATGAGAGAGGATGTGAACAAGTCCACTGTCTATTAAATAGAAGAAAGGGAAAGTCGGTAAGTCATTACTATCAATCAGAAGTTAGGAAAAATGGAAAACTAATAAGGGAAGTAAAGAAGCACAAGGAGCAATCATGGCCAGCAGAGTTAAGACAATAAGTAGTTTTTAAAATATATTGGGAACAAAAAGAGTAATAGTATTGATACAGATAATAGTATTGGTCATTATCAATGCAGAAGAGGCAGAAATGTTCAGTAAATATTTCTGTGAGGTATTCAACGGGGAAAACAGATTATGTAGTTTCCTTATATGGTGTTGGAGAAGTTCTTTCCATTCCACTGGTATCTCTGGAGGATGTTAAACAAAAGTTGCTAAAGTTAGACATTTTTTAATTAACCCATCCAGCTAACATGCATCCAAGACACACAGACTTTTGAAAGAGCTGGCTGAGGAGTCAAGTGGGCCATGAACGTTGATTTTCAATAAGTTGTGGAGAATTGGGGAAATTCTAGAAGACTGGAAGAAAGCTAAACTGGTGCCAGTTTTTTTAAAGGAAATTGGATGACCCAGGTAACTACAAGCCTGCTAACCTGGTGCCAATCCTGAGCAAGATAATGGGGCTGTTGAAATATAACTCAATATGCAATTAAAAGAGAGTAAAGTAATTAATGCAATTCAACATGGGTTGATGGAAAATAGATCCTGTCAAACTAACTTCATATTTTTTATGACATTACAAATTTGGTTGATAAAGGTAATTCTGTTGACATCATAGACTATTGTAAGGTGTTTGACTTGCTACCATATCACATTTTTAAACCAAAGAGAGACTCAACCTTGCACACATTAAATGAATTAAAAGTTAGCTACTATAAAAGTCTCAGAACACACCTAAATAGGACTATGTAGCAGAAATTTGATTTGTCCTTTTCATATATGTTCATTTTTTTTTAATTGTATCCTTTGGTATATATGGTCATGCCAATTTTCTTCCACTATTTGATCTGAGGAAGTGGGTCTGGCCCACGAAAGCTCATCACCTAATAAACCATCTTGTTAGTCTTTAAAGTGCTACATAGTCCTGTTTTTTGTTTCAGCTACACCAGACTAACATGGCTACGTTTCTATCACTATACCTAAATAGGGGATTGAGTAACTGATTCACAGCGATCTGGGACACTTGGTAAATTTGGTGCAAGCAAAAAATATGTTTAAATACAGTTAAATAGAAATGTATATACAGTATTTAAGAACAAGGAATGTAGGCCATACTTACAGATGGAGCGCATGACAGTTTAAGTTTATCTGTACAGATTAACTCGGCTAACCCCTAAAGCTTCAGAGCCAGTGTAGACACGGCTGTTTATTTTGTGGACAGAACTGGCTTCTGTCAGAATCTTACAATGTGCCTGATCTGATGGCTCCGCTCGGTGTTTTGATCTCTGGGTCCCTTGCAGGCATGGCACCTTTCCCCTTTCAGAACTCTGGGAAGGAGCTGACAGCCGAGTGAACTGCTCTTTTTGGGGAATAAACAAAGAACCAATCACTGGACTGCTCCTGTTCTGACCTGCACTAGGAGCACAGCAGCAGGCAGGTGGGGGACAGATGCTGTACTGCTTTGACATTCCTCAGCCAGGAATGCTCACGGAGCTGCTCAAAGCTACTCACGATACTGTTCCCTGCAGCTAAGGATGCTGTGGGAGAACTCGGAAGGAATCTCAAGATGTGACCAACTCTGCCTTCCCACAACACAGCCCTGTGGGATACCTACCCACAGTGCATTGCTCACACTGTCGATGATGTTGCTCCAATGTGAATGTGTTGACGGGGAGCAAGTGCAAACTCCTTCTGGTGAGTTTTGTCGACTTTGAGTGTCGACACAAGACTCAATAGTATAGACATGCCCCAAAGAAGCTAATATGACCTTCATGTATAAACAGGGAAATCTCGAAGGAGTGGAGAGGTTAGCTTGTCTCTGTATTTGATTCTGGTGTGACCGCTACTGGAATATTGGATCCAGCTCGGGTGCCCACAATTCAGAAGGATGCTGATAAATGAGAGAGGGTTTAGAGAAGAGCTGTGAGAATGATTAAAAAAATTAGAAAATCTGCTTTAGATTGATAGACTTGAAGAACTATCTATTGATATTAACAAAGAAAGGGTTAAAGGGTGACTTGAATATAAGTCTATAAGTATCTATATGGTCAAACATATTTAATAGGCTCTTTAATCTAGCAGAGAAGGCAATAACATGATCCAATAAGGAAACTAGATAAATTCAAACTGGAAATAAGGCATCAAGTTTTGACAGTGAGAGCAGTTAACCACTGGAACGGCTCACCAAAAGTCATGGAGGGTTCTCTCTCACGGGCAACTTTTAAATCAAGAGTGGATGTTTTTCTCTAAGATCAACTCTAGGAATTATTTTGGGGAAGTTCTATGGCTTATGCTGTACAGGAAGTCAGACTGGAAGATCACAGTAGTCCCTTCCGGCTTTGGAATCCTGTGAAAAGAGTATAATGTGTTTTCTTTGATAGGGTGTTTGACTTTTAATTATATTTTTATAGTACTTGTCCCCATAGCATTTCCTCTTGTACCCTCATCCCCTGAATAGATTTTCAGCAATAAATAGTAGACTGTTGTTAAGCCATTCAACATTTGTTAACCCTGCACAGAAACCAGCTGCATTTGTGACTATAGTTCAAATTAGGGCTGTCAATTTAATCAACTAACTCAAAATTAATTGCAATTAAAAATATTAACCACACTGTTAAATAATTGAATACCAATTGAAGTTAAATATTATTGGATGTTTTGAAATATAGTGATTTCTATTATGACACAGAATACAAAGCATAGAGGGCTCACATATTAATTTGATTACAAATATTTGCACAGCAAAAATAAGACCTAGTATTTTTCAGTTCACCACAAACAATTACTACAGTGCAGTTTACAAATGTAGATTATTTTTGTTGTATAACTACACTCAAAAATGAGACAATGTACAACTAAATTTAGAGCCTACGAGTCTACTCAGCAAAGTTCCACCTAATCTTTTCCATCTGTATGCGAAATAATTTTTTCTGTGTACAACAAGGTATGGTGAATTTGAACCATCAGTAGAAACAAAACCATGCTGTGGCTGCTCTGCTAATCACCTGGACAACATTTGAATGTTTCCTGGGTGACCACCCAGGGAATACTACCACTCAGTCCTACTTCTTGTTCAGCCAATTTCTCAGACAAACAAGTTTGTTTACATTTATGGGAGATAATACTTCCTGACCCTTATTTAGTGTCACCTAAAAGTGAGACCAGGTGTTCACATGGCAATTTTGTAGCCAGCTTTGCAAGGTATTAATGTGTCAGATACGCTAAACATTCATATGCCCCTTCATGCTTCAATCACCATTCCAGAAAACATATTGATGAAACTCACTTAAAAATTATATGCTAACTAAATTTGTGACTGAATTCCTTGCAGAAGAATTGTATGTCTCCTGCTGTTTAACCCATATTCCACCATATATTTTGTTATACCAGTCTCAGATGATGACCCATTTTGTTCATTTAAGAACACTTCCACTGCAGATTTGATCCCCCCAAAAAATATATTTGTTTTCTTTTTCTGTAGCTCTCATAGACAACCAATAGGATTTTTTTCTTGTTGCATTACTCTTGTTAATGTTTATTCTCTCTAGTATTTGATTATCTCTGTTCACTTCTATCCATTTTTGCAGTCATTTGTTTTGTTTTCAGCATTGTCCTGCTTCCAATTGTGTCATCTGAAAAAGTGGGTTGTGCACATGAAACCTTTTCCAACCAACTTGACTAGCCTCCTGCATTGAAGGCCGTTTGCCACAGTTGTTCAAGTAGCGGCTTTTCACTCCAGTCCCAATAGTCCCTTCTGCCCACCGAATCTGTGAATCCATAACTTTTTTTCTTTATACCATATCCTCAGTCCTTAATTCACTTCCAATATTTTTTTGCTTCACTCAGAGAATTATCTAAGCCCTTCTTACTTGACTCATTTCTTAAATGGCTTTGGAGCAAATATCCAAGCTCTGGTAGGTGAGACAAAAAAGTAACATCTTCTACAGCAGTTAGAAATGAGTTAAAGCTAAATTACAGTGGAATTATACATATTACAGCTGTATTTATACTAAATAAGTTCATCTCAGTGACTTAAAGTATTACAATGACTATCATAAGAATTAATCATTGGCCACTTAATGTGATTACGTTGTTTCCAAGTAGGACAGTGTAAAATAATGGAATTTGGTACACTAAATATGTTTAAAAGCCTTTAAAACACTAAGAAAAAAACCAGTTTTGAATCTATAAATTCAAAGGTGAACATAACAAAGGTAAATGAAACCTGAAAGGAATAGTGCATATAATACTAGAAGC